TAATTGTATTATTTTTATTTTTTATTATTTAATATTTTTTGTATTGTTTATAGTATACTGCTCAAAAAAATTAAAGGAACACTTTGAAAACACATCAGATCTCAATGAGGAAAAATATCATGCTGGATATCTATACTGGTATGGACTGGGTAATGTGTTAGGAATGTAAGGATGCCCCATCGTTTGATGGAAATGAAAATGATCAACCTACAGAGGACTGAATTCAAAGACATCCCGACAATCAAAGTGAAAAAAATGATGCAGCAGGCTAGTCCATTTTACTGAAATTTCATTGCAGCAACTCAAAATGATATTCAGTAGCTTGTATGGCCCCCATGTGCTTGTATGAAGTGCCTGACAACTTCGGGGCATGCTCCTAATGAGACTATGGATGGTGTCCTGGGGTATTTCCTCCCACATCTGGACCAGGGCATCACTGAGCTCCTGGGCAGTCTGAGGTGCAACCTGGTGGCGTTGAATGGACCGAAACATGATTCTATTGGATTTCGGTCAGCCGTGGGGGCTATTCAATGGTATCAGTTCCTTCATCCTTCAGGAACTGCCTACATACTCTCGCCACATGAGGCCGGCCATTGTCGTGCACCAGGAGAAACCCAGGACACACTGCACCAGGGTAGGGTCTGACAATGTGTCCAAGGATTTCATCCTGATACCTAATGACAGCTAGGGTACCATTGTCCAGCCTGTAAAGGTTTGTGCATCCCTCCATGGATATGCCTCCCCAGACCATCACTGACCCACCACCGTAACGGTCATGCTGAATGATGTTACAGGCAGCATAACATTCTCCATGGCTTCTCCAGACCCTTTCATGTCTGTCACATGTGCTCAGGGTGAACCTGTTCTCATCTGTGAAAAGTACAGGGTGCCAGTGGCGGACCTGCCAATTCTGGTGTTCAATGGCAAATGCCAGTCAAGCTACTTGGTGCCGGGCAGTGAGCACAGGGCCCACTGGAGAACGTCGGGCCCTCAGGCCACCCTCATGAAGTTTGTTTCTGATTGTTTAGTCAGGGGCATTCACACCAGTGGCCTGCTGGAGGTCATTTTGTAGGGCTCTGGCAGTGCTCATCCTGTTCCTCCTTGCACAAAGGAGCAGATACTGGTCCTGCTGATGGGTTAAGGATGGCCCTGTCCAGCTCTCCTAGAGTAACTGCCTGTCTCCTGGAATCTCCTCCATGCTCTTGAGACTGTGCTGAGAGACACAGTAGACCTTCTGGCAATGGCACATTTTTATGTGCCATCCTGGATTAGTTGGACTGCCTGTGCAACCTCTATAGGGTCCAGGTATCGCCTCATGTTACCAGTAATGACATTCACCCTAGCCAAATGCAAAACTAGTAAAAAACAGTCAGAAAAAAGATGAGTAGGGAAAAAATGTCAGTAAACTCCACATCCACCTGTAAAACCATAACTGTCATGGGGGCCGTCTAATTGTTGCCCATCTAGTACACCGTTGTTAAATTCATTAATACCAAAGCAGCTGAAACTGATTAATAACCCCCTCTGCTACTTAACTGACCAGATCAATATCCCAGAAGTTTAATGTCCTTAATGCTATACTCTGATTAAAAAGTGTTCCTGAACTCACCCTAATGTTTTCCTATGTGTCCATGTACACTATGTCATTTACAGTCTTTTACAGGCAGTTGAGTTTACAGTTGTTTTTTTGAAAGCACCAAACTTACGTTCAGGAGTAGATTTTATCAGTGTTTCAAATGCCAACACTTGTAAACGCGGCTAACCGCATTTATAAGCATTTGTGTTTGGAAAATTGTTTAACTCTTCCATTTCCAGATGATGTCCAGAGCCTTTTTTAATCATGAAAACTGCATGCAAAGCATTTTCCCGATACTCAAATGGACCTGCTACACCATACTTTGAGGTTTCGCATGAAAGAAAATATGTTAGACACTGCTGCAAAACATTCTGCACAGAAATGAGCTGCAACACATCCAAACACCACAAAAAAAACAGCTAATTTCAACAAATACTACTCTCTCTATTTCTCTCAAAATGTCTGAAATAGTAAATTTTTTTACTGTTTTTAAGTGCATTCTGGACATTTTGGAAGGTCTTCTGAGGTTATCTTTAAAAAATGCTTCTAAACGCAAATGCTCATAAATGCACATAAACTCGCATAAACGCGGTATGCAAACGCGGCTAAATAGACGTTTTTTAACCTACATTTTCCAGCAGTCAGTTTCCATTGTTCAGAAGTGCCCCGTGTACATGGAGCCTAATTTGCTGCAGACCCAGGTTTGCACACATTTGGAAAATGCTGAGTTCATGCTTAGAGACACAATTTTTTGGCAGGGTGAAGATAGTTCCTGTATTTTGTTTTTAGATGTTTTTGACTATTGGCTTACTGGGATTTGGGACGGTCATTCTTTGCTGTTATAATTCTTGTATTGTGAAATAAACATTAATATTTGAGACTTTTTAGTAGAGATGCTATTGCTGATTTTTGGTGGTACGTTGGGTTACTAAAACCGTTTCATGTTTTCTAAATGTATTTGACTGACCGTGAATCCTAATTTACAATTATATATTGTGGAATTGATATATTTGAGTCCCCTCTCCACCCCCATCTGCTAACTGGATATTGAAAGAGCAGCAGCAGCAGTAGCAGCAGGATGCTTATAAATTCATCTATCTGCTCTATCTGCTTTATTCTGTTAGTATGTTCCTTGTCAGCACCTTTACATGTATCACTCCTGATTGGTCTTCAGTCCTGAACCACCTTATTGCAGTCTGAGTGCTGCTGTATAGGGGATTGCAAGAGTTTGTGTTTAAGTCAAATTGTGGTACTTACATTAATTGCATTAAAATACATTAAATGATTTATTATTTAATATTTAGCTGCAATAATTTCTGCCTTTTATGTCCAACTGAATTTCAGCTTCAAATTCCATCAAATTCTAAAAACATTCCTCACACTAAGACTAGATTCACATCTGTGCGGGTGGTGCTGCTGCGGGACCCTAACAAATGCCAGCAGCCGCAACCACCCATGCAGGACCTGCGAGTGGGTGCCATTAACCCTAAAGGCATGCCGCCCTCAGTGGAAATTGCAACTGTACTGGGAACCTCAGTTCCCATGTGGGCTGCAATTTACAAAATAGTGCAGGGACGTCTTTCCTGCATGTACAAATGAATGGGTCTTCATGCCCGCGCAAATTACACCCCCCACAGCTGCACATGTGTGAATCTAGCCTAATAGACACATCACAACACCCCAGGACTGATAAACATAATAACACACAAACTATTCAGATGTGGTTAAGGACTTCCCAGCCTGTGATTGGATAGTGGGAGAACATGTCTGTAAACATCTCTCCCAACAGGCAGCCCCTTTTACCTTGTGCAGCATAGTAAAACCCGCTTCATGGTACTGCTCCTATCTTTTTCCATCTGCATATTTCTATAAAAGCGAATACAGTAGGCAGATATAAAGATAATGTAAATATATATTGTGGGAACTCGCTTCAATGTGGTAGACGCACACAGCTACTCGCTTTCTTTTTCAGGGCCTTTTTAGCCCACTTTTATTTAAATGAAAATGTCCCATAACATAATGCTTCCCACGCAGGGGTATCCACCAACAAAACAAAGATTCAGCCTCCTGGCTTACACACCGTTCAATGTCTGTCTCCTGCAGACTCTTCCCAAATTATGGCCACTAGCACACAGCTAGTCTGGCTTCCACCTGACTCCAAGGCAGAGACCTCCCCGTCTGCCAGGGTGGAGCCCTGCTGACTCCTAGCTGCCGGGGTGGAGGCCTGCTGACTCCTAGCTGCCGGGGTGGAGCCCAGAACCCTGGTCCTGACTCTCTCTAAAGGCCTGCACACACCTGTGCAATCAGTCTCCTGGCCTATCCCAAAACCTGGTCCCAGGATTGGAGATTTCATCCCTCCCAGATCTCTTTGAAATCTCCAGGCTCCAGATCCCAAAACAGACCTTACAAACAAAGGAGGAAAGTGAAAAGCCACTTTCCTCTGTATCAAACCTTTACCCTGGAGCCCCTCAACCTGCCTTGTTGAGAATCCAGGGTGACAGATCGCCACACTGTCACAAATATATATATATATAAAATATATATATATATAAAAAAGACTGTTTTTTATCTTCCTACACTTCTGCTTTTAAGTTGAACTAAAGCCATAACTTTTATATTTTCATTTGGGACACAGAGTATGGGAGGGTTATGACAGTCTTTTACCATCTGTGTGTTGCTGGGGCATTGAGCACTTGGGAGGTAAGCTCTGAACTGTTCCCCTCACTCTATCTGAGATCCATTACCCCTATCTCCCAGAGTCTGGCTGTTATAACATCCTTAACTTGTGCTTATTCCCCCTAGAAATGGCATGTCACCACTTCACCCCATGTGTGTGCATTGCAGTCTTGTTCTTCTATATGCCATTATCACTATGCACCCTTTAAGTAACTTCAGCCCAGGCATGACGTTTCAGAAGCATTACTGGAATAACGTGAGATAACAGTTCAACATAGAGTGCAGTCTTTTTCTAACATCCCAAGGCCCTAATTACAGGCCAATGGCTGTCCCAGCATACCTGCTCAGGAAAGAGTCCATGACAGGTATGTTCTAGGACAGGGGTCCTCAAACTTTTTAAACAGGGGGCCAGTTCACTGTCCCTCAGACTGTTGGAGGGCCAGACTATAGTTTAAAAAAAAAAAAAACTATGAACAAATGCGGACACAGTACAGGAGATGACCAGAGACTGCGGACATACAAAGGTGGCGGTAATACTGGGCTGGCCGATCCATAAGACGCACAGACATTTCCCCCCAAGTGTGTCTTATGGAGCGAAATAGTGCCCCATCATTGGTGTCAGTGGGAGGAATAGTGCCCCATCATTGATGTCAGTGGGAAGAATCGTGACCCATCATTAGCGTCAGTGGGAGGAATAGTGCCCCATCATTGGTGTCAGTGGGAAGAAACGTGCCCCATCATTGGTGTCAGTGGGAGGAATAGTGCCCCATCATTGGTGTCAGTGGGAAGAATCGTGCCCCATCATTGGTGTCAGTGGGAAGAATCGTGCCCCATCATTGGTGTCAGTGGGAGGAATAGTGCCCCATCATTGGTGTCAGTGGGAGGAATAGTGCCCCATCATTAGTGTCAGTGGGGGGAGGAATAGTGCCCCATTGTTGGTGTCAGTGGGGGGAGGAATAGTGCCCCATCGTTGGTGTCAGTGTGGGGGGGGGGAATAGTGCTCCATCATTGGTGTCAGTGGGGGAATGGGATAGTGTCCGAACATTGGTGTCAGTGGGAGGAACAGTGTTCTATCATTGGTGTCAGTGGGAGGAATAGTGTCCCATCATTGGTGTCAGTGGGAAGAATAGTGCCCCATCTTTGGTGTCGGTGGGAAGAATAGTACGTCATTGGTGTCAGCGGGGGGAATAGTGCCCGTCATTGGTGTCAGTGGGGGGGGGGGGATAGTGTCCCAACATTGGTGTCAGTGGGAGGAATAGTACCCCATCATTGGTGTCAGTGGGGGAAGGAATAGTGTTCCATTGTTGGTGTCAGTGGGGGGTGGAATAGTGCCCCATCGTTGGTGTTAGTGGGGGGGAGGTATAGTGCCCCATTGTTGGTGTCAGTGGGGGAAGGAATAGTCCCCCATCGCTGGTGTCAGTGGGAGGAATAATGCCCCATCATTAGTATCAGTGACACCAATGATGGGGCACTATTCCTCCCACTGACACCAATGACACTTAACTTGCTGACCCATGTTCCAGCATGGTGGTGCTGCAGCCAGCATACCTGGTTGCAGCGGCACCATCTGCACGGCACACTTACCTGTCAGCTGTCCTTCTTCACTCCAGCCTCTCCCTCACTCGATGTTCGCGGAGCCGCTCGGCTCTGCCTCCTCGCAGGTGATTGGCCACCTGTGTGCCTTTCCTGAGCTACAGTTCTGGTGCCCAATCACAGGTGAGGAGGCGGAGCTGAGCGGCAGTGCGAACATCGAGTGAGGGAGTGGCCGGAGTGAATGAAGGAGCAGCGCTTCCTGGACTGGATCGTCGTGGGACTGGGACACGGAGCCAGGTAAGATACAGCAGCCCCCCTTCCTGCCCCTGTACTTAGTGTCCCTCCCTCGTGGCAAATACGCCCCTGCTGGCGGGCCGGATAAATGTCCTTGGCGGGCCGCAGTTTGAGGACCCCTGTTACAGGAGGACTGCAAGTCCAAGCAATCCTTCTACATCTGGAAGGCTCCAGGACACAGGTTTGTAGCAGCTTTGTTGGAAACAGAAAAAGAAGCACTCTCCGACATCTTGCTGACTGTCTTTGTCTTTTCTTCCCATGCAGTAGGCTGTGTGTTGTGGGACCACAAGGCTCAGCAACCCCAGGCATATCGGCAGGCTCCTCAGGCAGGCAATCTCCAGTGAGGACAGATGGAAGAGAAGATAGCTGAAGTAGGAGTGAGCAGAGCCCCTCTGGGCTGGTGGTGTGCTGGAGGATTGGGTTATATAGCAGCTATCAGCCTGTCCTTCTTCCCACATGGCTGGTCTCCTCGGAGCAGAGCTCCTTCCTGATTTTATATGCACAGTGAGGGGGCAGAGCCCAGCAAAAGCTTGCCAAAAACAGGCCCATGAGATACGGTTAACTCCTTACCTCCTTACCTGTTGAATTTCCAGGACTTTAATTTTCCTCAAATGGTGGTGAGAAGCATAACACAGCCCCTCACTGTAAAAGGATGGTTTAATCACAGCTTTTGTCAATGTATATGAGCTGCTGAAGGGAAAGGACAGAAAAAGAACACTGATTATAAGGGAAGAGTAGGATCGGTTAACTACTTGTGCTTTATTTCTGTGAATTGCAGTGGTGAAATTAATTCTGTTGCATGCCACTCGCTATCATATTAACAGGTCTTTGTTTCCTAAAAGTCCTTAATATGATTACTATCAGTGTCAGCAACAAATATAACTGCAAGCTTTTGGGCAATTTTAAAAGAGAAAAAGCTGCCTGTTTTACCTGCTGAAAGACTGTGTTCCACAGGCTAATTTTTACACAAACCATATTTGAAAGCTGAAACTAAATTTAGTAGAAAAGTTGCTTGTGTCATGTTTAAGGGGCTACAATTGGTGACTTCAGTGCAATTCCCCAAAAATATAAAGAGTGATCCAAAGAGAGAACCAGAAGCAGAAGAAGGTAAAGTAAGGATAGCAGAGGAGGGAAGGCTGACATAGGAGAGGGTTGAGAAGGGGCTTGGCCAGGGTATTTCGCAGCCATAGGGCCACAAGAAGATGTTAGAATGGGACATGCATATTATTGTTCCAAAAGACAATGGCAAAAGTATGCAGGCAGGAAATGAGTGACCCACAAATCCCAGATTTTCAGAAATTTTGCCATCATGCCTTGCAGTTTGGCCATCTGTTTCTCATTAATCAGTATCAATTGCAATCTAGATTTAACCTCTTCAGTGTGAATAGTGTCAGTGATCCATGGCTTTGCTACTTGGGTGAAGTTTTGGATCACATTGCTGAACTTGGGGTGAATCAAGAGGAAAACAAGAAATGAGGTTCATTAGATGAAAAAAAAAAAATAGGTGAGGTAAAGAAAACAAAAAGAAAAACAATCTGAGCATAGTGGGCAAGTAAAGTTACTAGGAATGACTGTCTCTGTGTTATGTGCTCACATACTGCTTTGTTGGGAAGTATGCCATGGTGAACTTTAAGTGTCTGAGGATGTCTCATGGTCCTGAATATTAGAGAGGTGGTCATCATAAGTAAAACTGACTGGTTTCATCAAGCTGGCAAGACAAGCTAGTAACATAACTGTAATGATTACTTTGGAGCTTGAAGACAGTCTGTTATAATTAGGTCAAGTAGTTGACAGGGCAGCTGTCAGATCTCATGCAGCCTTTCATCTCTGACTCTTAGCTATACAGAAACAGTCATCCTGTAAATGTAAAAGTAAGAGCTTTTGTACACAAACATTGTTTTCCTGAATGTCACATGTGTTTAAATTGCACGTCGTACACAAGTCAGCAGAGCATTTGATTTAATCAAGTAGTGTAGATGACAATTCAGAGGCTGCATTTGGCCTGCTTTTCTTTGTGTTTCTTCAGACAAAGCAGGTCGTATTGAGGTGCATTTTATTGCAGGCAAAGCAGGGGAAATTCATACTTTTCCTGTCTAAAGCTGGGTACACATGGTCGAAATATCAGCCAGTTCAGCAGGAACCAAGCAACATTTGAACCGCATGTACATCTGTCCTTCTGACAGAGGCTGGTCTAAGGACCAGCTTTTGTTGAAGGGAAATGCTGGAAAACCAACATCCGACCAGCGCTCGGAGCCAAGGGCTGCAATCACTGAATAGTGTGGGGGGGATGGGGGGGGAATAGGGGGGGTCCTGTCAGAACACAAAGGCACAGCAGGAGAGATCACTGCACTAACATTGCTTAGTTAGTACAGCAATATCTCTGTTTTTTTTTTTCGTTCAGCCCACTGGTTTGAACAAAACAAAACTCAATGTGTGTACCAGGCTTTTCTCAGCATTTTGGGTTTGAATACATGCATTTGAGCAGTGCTGAGTTAGAACAAAGAAAGCTGTATTTGACACGAATGCTTGACTACATGAGCCCTTGTCAGATAAATGGCAAATGAATATCTTTAATATGCATGACTACAGATTTGTGTTAACTTAAAGTGGAATTTTAGTCACTTCAGGCTGGCCCCTTTTGCAGGTATAGCTAAGTAAAATGTTAAAAATAAGTGTCTATGCTATTTAAAACCAGTAAAACACTGTCTCGCCCTACTCTGCACATGCTCAGTTGCTCTTTATTTTTTGGCACTTTTGCCATAAAATGTAGAGACTTGTTTGCTGACAGCCTAAAGATTTACCACTGCTCAAGGGCTCTGGGCTTTCAAAAAATGGAAGCCTTCAGCAAGATACACTAATTTTGGAAGCATAATTATTAAGTGCTAAATGTATGCTCCTTGCTAAAGAACATTATTTTTTTTATCAAGTTGTTATGGGCAAAGTTCTGCTTTAAGACTGAACATGCAGGCTCTTGCATAGGCTCAAGTGCAAATGGTTCTTTTAAGGGTAATAGAGTTCCTAAGCCAGAGACATAATATATACTTTATTTTTCACTTGGTTTTGGTGTCAAAAGTCCTGGTCCAAGTACATGAAAACCTTTTTTTTTTTTGGACTGTTTTTCAATCACTCTGATACAGAAAGTCAGGCATGCTAGGATCAGCTATGGTGGGTTCTGCATGATTGCCATCCTTGAGAATACCATCCTATACACTCCTCTACACTTTAAAAAAAGATGCAGATTGTTAGATAAAACCTCAATATACTGTACATAGCGGTACTACATATTTCCCATATTTCCAAAAAAGCAAAATGGATTGCAGAAGTAGCTTGGGTAAACTGTCTTTAAAGCAAATTTTACAAAACCTCTTTTTCTGAGTAATAAAGACAGTAGAGCACCAGAATCTGAATGGTTAGACATCTCCCAGGTCCAAGGTAGCCAGGGCCCCTGAAACAGCTCATGACCGATCAATTTCTTTGGCATAATTCAACATCAGAAATGTCTTTATTTTCAAGGTTTGAACTGTGTAACACTGTAAAAAAACTGATCTGGGGGTGTGGCCTGGAGCAGCATGGAGTAGGATGCTGGTGAGGAGAGCATCGCTCGCAATACTGTACATCCTTTTCTCCCTCATCCCACGCACTGTTTTTGCACACTCTACTACCTCTTAGGGACCTCTTGATATCTGCTTACCATATGCTGGATGCCAGCTCTAAACTAGATAAATTCCAGCTGCAAGAAAAGGAGATGTCTGGGGAAGATGGTGGGCCATTCTCCTCTGATCCTGACCAGACAGCAGCCAATACAGCAAAAGTCCTGGATGCCATCTCTTCCTGCCAAATGACTCTCATCTCCAAGATTGAGATAAAGGTGGACATATTTCTAGTTAAAGAAGATCTCCAATAAGAAGCTCCCTCAGCACCAAGTACACCAGAATATACAGAAACAAGTTGACATGGAGAATAGGCTGTGTCCAAGCAACCTTAGGTTTATCAGGTTTCCAGAGGGAGCTGAGGGCTCTGACCCACCTGCATTTCTGGAACACCTCCTGTTCACTACATTTGGCAGGGCGTTCTCCTACTCGTTTGTAGTGGCACTCTCTCACCGCATGGAGGCTAATCAACTGCCTATTAGGGCACCACCTTGCATCTTTATTGCAAAGCTTCTCAACTACAAAGACTGAGACACAGTTCTTCATCTATCCAGGGAAAAGAGCAATAACCCTTTCCGAAATGTTAAGATAATGGCTTCTCCGGACTTTTTGTCTGAAATACAGTGCCAGTGTACAAGTTTTCTGGAAACCAAATGATGCCTCTGAGTGCAATACTTCAAATATCCTGCACATCCCTGGGTGGTAAGTGAAGATAAAGTGTACTTTTTTGACCATCCTGAAGTTGCTATCACTTGACTGGAACAGAACAATTTGTCAAGAGCCACTGTCAACTAATGACATCTCCAACCCTTCTCAAACTGGAAGTAATCAGATCAGAGCCACTCCCCTCATGCCTTCATCAAGCACTCATGCTACATATGACCACCGTGGATGGT